TTTACTAAGTAATATTTTGATTGTGAAGCTTTCATCAAAAGTTTTACTGTTTCTTCAGGTTTCAGTAGTTGCATGCAAGAATTAATCTCATTTGAGCAAGAATTAATGGTTTAGATGTTTTATTTTAATGTTTGGACATGTTACTTTTAAATATTATATTTTAAAAGTTTTATCCGTGAATATTAAAAATTGTATTTAAGATATTTAATATTATTCTTCTCATTCTCTATAATATTTAATTATCTTGTCATACAATATAAAAATTTGATTATGTTAATTATTTTATATGACATAACCGGATAACCAAACCGAAAAAGCCCGACCTGAGAAGAGAAAAATCAAACCGAACAAAATTTATTTTTAGTTCTGCTTGGATTGCACTTTTTCAAAATCAAAAGATCGAACGCACACCTCTATCGAAAACAATAAAAATTATGGTTCTAACAGAATTAGCTTTAGTTTGACTCAAATCTTATATTTGTATTAAGAAATTACTTAATATATTAAAATAGCCTATCTTGAACTCAATAAACAATTTATAATTTGGAACTCACAGCTCAAAATTCTGGATTTGTCTTTTCCGACGGAAAACTAAAGGTACATAAGATAGTAAGGAGGATTTTTGAGAAACTATCCTAGCCGACTTAGATTAAAGAACAAAATACACTTTTGCATTGTTTATGTTTTATTAAAATAAATGCTAAATATTTTATATTCGTAATTTTTCCAATTTTCTTAAACTTTTAATGTACTTTATATATTTTTTGTGGTTATTATATTATTTTATTAATTTATAAATTAAAAAAGGGACATTTTCGTATATATATACGAGATTTTAAACTTATTTACCCGGTTTTGTCTAAGTTTTCATATTTACAGAAAGTAACAAAAGTTTTTTACAAAATATATACAAATCCGGTCACAGTCTATAATTTATCTACAACTTAAATACACATTTTTTACACAAAATCCGGTTAAAAACTACAATTTACATACATTTTATATACAACTTGTATACAATTATGTAAGTTGTAGATATTTTGTATACTATTTCTACACTCACATACAAAATATATACAATTTGTTTATGTCTTATTTTTCGAGGTTCAATATGAAATTCCAACTAAGACCACCTCGAATCTTCACCAAATTCTTTCAAAATTGAGATATAAACTCCAGATAGTATTCCCAATCATTTGTAACAACACTCAATCCAAATAAATAACGATTGAATCGAACCCAATTTTCAAATTAAAAGCTTTGAAGTTTCTTAATAGTTGTCAATGGAGTTTAAATTCAAATCTTTATGCTTAGTTTAATTAATGCATAAAAATCTTTATGCTCAGTTTAATCAATATTTGCCACGCCCAATGCATGTGCCAATGGTTTAATCTATTCATCAATCAATATAATGCAAAACTTTGGACCATTTTTATCGATGGGAAAGTAATAAAGTTGTGCCAGCTATGTTCTTAGTTATTTTTTGTTACTGATTGTAGGATTTCTATGTCTTCTCTTCATTCGTGACTCTTTAAGATCGAAACTCTTTGTTCTATATATTTTGGGTTATTGGTTACGTGGGGGTGGGGGGTGGGATACAGTGTATTGCTGAGAGACGTATAGTAGGGGTGGGTAGAAACCTGAAGGCTTAGGATTGGTTGCCAATTAAAGCCCTTTAACTGAGGGATATTAACTTATCAATAAAAAATATATATATATAATTGATAAATTATATATCAATTTGTAATTAAGTTAAAACCTAAATAATGAGGGTAAATAAGTTTCTAATGTACATATAGGTAAAAATCTCATAAAAATTAAGATCAATGGGCTTACGTTCCATATTTAAGGAGTTATGCCTCACCCCACATTAAGCAAAATGCCCCACCTCACGCTCTTGCATTTTGAAATATGGATTTTGACATGAAACACATCTTAGGTAAGAATGTCATTTTAAATTTGAGTACTAATCTTTCAACCGCATGAAAATATTGAACCGAATCGTATTAACTTACATTAAAAAAAAAAATTCACCTCGTTTGTTGTATTGAATCAACAATTATTGTGATCTATGTGATACTTACATGAATTAATTTTTCTCATGATCTATCTTGGCACAATGTCATTATTTCTACAATGTGATTATCGTATTATTTTCAATCTCACTAGTATGAAAAGTGTCTGTATATGAGCCAGGACAACCTGGCCTAAACGTAAAAATTATCTGGACTAGTCACTTTTTGGATAGATTTTTAAAAAATAATCAATGGTTAAAAATTCATTGATAAGCCTCTTTTAATTAATGCAGAAATACCATGACAGTGTCTTGGATTTCAAACTTAAACAACCAAACAAGTGAAAAATACAGGATACCATCCTGATTTTTGAAATCCATGATCGTATTATGGATTTCGAATTTTAAAAAAAGTAAACTCCATGATAATGCCCTGAATTTCGTCCATGATAATGCCATACAGTTTCACTTTTTAAGTTCGAAATTCATAACACTGTCATGTATTCCAAAAATTAGCTACTTTTCATTGAATTTTTGAATGTGTAGCTATTTTTTGAAGCGGTTATCTAACGTAATTTTCCCTTACATTATCCCAAGCCCAATTGACCAATCATCGGAAGAGAGGGTAAAGCAGATACTAAAGAAAAAATTCGAACCAATCATCATCATTTTTTCTCTATCGGCTCTCAGAGTCCAATCAAATCGTGAACAACAAAATTATAAATGAATAATTAATCTTAAGGTCATTTTTTTCTTTTTTTTCTTCCTTTTTTCTACATTTTAAAAAGTCTATATGATTTTTTCACATTATGCCCATTCACTTTATTATACCTCTAATATAGGCATATTCATGGGATGTGGTTCTTCATTAACATATGTATAACTTAGGAATATATCCGTCAGGAGTCAAATCACCAGTTTTAATTTTGGTCCCGATTTACCTTAGGCTAGGTTCAAGCTGAAGACAACTAGTAAAAGAACTTAATCATTAAGAGGTGGTTTGGTTCAAAAATTAGTTATGAAAGAATTATAATGTGTAGATTATAATACGGGGATTAAATAATAATGAGTTATTTAGTGAATATAATTTTTTAGTAAGTGTTTGTTTCGTTAAATTAAAAATGAAATATACAGAGTATTACTATAAATTATGTGTTTGATTTTACAATAGATGATTTCTAATATTAATATTGGTCTTTTTGGTTGTAACTCACACATTGGTGCTCTCAATATATCCAAGCCTGCAAATATTGACCATGAGGGCTAAATCTCTGCCCAAAGACGCCCCCCTATCCTTCAGATTTGCTAGAGGCTCGTTTTCAATTTTCACCACAATTTTTTAAGGGGATTTTTTTTCTTCTTATGCAATATTTGAAACTTATTTACTAAAATTATTTAAGTTTTATATATTACCCGCCTTAAACAAGTTTTTCTTATAATTTATATACAATCCATTATTAGTGCCTTAAATTAGAGGATTCTTTGCTTGAAAAAATGGCGTAACTGGAGGGAACAAAGTTCAAATTGTCTTTCCATCTAAATAAGACCCCTTCCAGTTGTGTGTTACCTATTTTAAGCCATAATTAGCGCAACTCTTCTCTCTTTGTCATAATTGCCTATTTTAAGAAAAGAATCAGCATACAAAATAAAAACAAATTTTATACAAATTTAATATAAAACTTGATATATCTACAAGTCTACAACTACATACATACTAAAAATAAATTTCAAACAACTAATTATACAGTATACAACTTATTTACAACTTATCGACAACTTTCATACATCATTCTTACCCAGTTAAATACAACTACAACATCATACAACTTAAATACATTTTTTATACAAATTTTATACAATATTTTTTTTGTATGTATTTTGTATATATTTTGTATGTGGTGTGTTCTTCTGCTTCTTTTTCGAATTTCAATCTGAAAATCCAGCCAAATCAAATCTAATCTTCACCAAATACCCTCAAAATCGAGATATAAACTCCATAGAATATTTCCAATTTGTAATAACATCCAATCCAAACAAACAATATGTTTTGAAAATCCGAATTCAAATTCAAAGTTTCGAAACTTTTTAATGGCTGTCAATTGTGGAGAGTCAAACACCTCAAAATTTATTGATTAACAATTTCAATTCGAACAATACAACCAAATAATTAATATACATCTACTGCTAGCCCGCCATCCGAACACCAACAAGAAATGGGGAAGCCCGAAAAAGCTCCAAATTCCAGCCATGGCGAAATTCAAATCGATAAAAAATTAATCTCTTTTTTTTGCCTTAGAAGAAAAAACCTTGTAGAAATTGGTGTAGAAAGTGGATTGATTTCAAAGAGAGAGAAGAAAATCCTTTAGAAAGATTGGGATTTGTCTGGGTAATTAAGGAATTGTGAGGATTTTTAGGGATTTACTAAATTAAAAGGCTCCAATCAAGGGATACTTATTTAAAACTAATTTGTATATAATTGGTAAATTGTATATGACCATGTAATTAAGTTAAAACTTGATTAGAGAAGGTAATTAAGTTTCATATATAGTATAGGGAGGTAAAAGTTTTTTTTTTTTTTTTTTTAAAAGAACTTTGGGAAAAAAGGGCCCCCTACCCTTCCGATTCGCAAGAGGCTCGGTTTTCAATTTTAACCTTGATTTTCTTAAAAAAATTTGCAAAAAATTATAGAGAAAACAGTTATGTTTGACCCAAGTTACTTTGAATTTCTAGATTCATAGCTATTACTTGAAAGGATGCCTTGGATTAACAGTAAAATTGCATCCGTATGGTCTATAGGTCACGAGATCGAACCGTGAAAGCAATCACTAATGCTTGTATTAGGGTAAGCTATCTATATCATACCCTTGGGGTGCGGCCCTTCCCCGACCTTAGATGCTTTGTGTACCGGGAGGCCCTTTTTATACCTATTATTAGAAGCAAAGACTTTTGTACTCTTCTCCAAACTCTGCCATTGATGAGATGGAGGGAACTCCAAAACATTAGTCATCTTATTCAAATATACATCAGAGTACATACAACATCAAAGTACAACTTCTTGATTGTTTCTAAATTATGAAATAAATATGACCGAACTGCAGTAGAAACTTTGTTTCCAGCTAACAACACTCTTAAATGACTACTAGAGGAGCATAATGACTACTCTTAATTATGAAATAAATATGACCGAACTACACAATGCTTCACTACACAATTCATGGAAAGAAAAACAGGAGAGCCAAGCTCAATTTGTGTACGCAAAATTTCCTCGTGTATGCACTTTCAACTTTTTCTGATTTCATGTATTTAAGAAATAGACCTATTGAGTCTTGGCAGTACGAGTAAAGAGAATTCTGCAGTAAAAGGGCAGCCAAGTGCACGAAGCATCTCACGTTCATGCAAGGTCCAGGGAAGGGCCGCACCCAAGCCGCACCCAAGGGGATGTGATGTACCTACCCTGATGCAAGCATTACGGCTCAAACCCATGACTTATATCTCACACAGAGACAACTTTATCGTTACTCCAAAGCTCTCCTTCAACCCTCAAAGAAACAAAAAGACCACAACATAGATTTTTAAGAATGGAGTGAACAAAATGTTAATATAGTTCTTTAGGCAAAAGGGAAACCTGTAAGTTCACACTATAACCAAATTTTACCATCAGTTCGCCATGTTCTATTACAGTTCCTTCCCTTCTTTCCCCAGTTTCCTCAGCAATAACAAGAATATGAAAGTAACACATTGTACTTGTATAAATTTCCATATACATTGGATAGTGAAGCAAGCAAGGTGTTTGTCTTTTGATCCAGTGATACCAACACAACTGAGGATAATGTGGGGGAATTCAGGAATATCCACATATCTGCAATAAATTGAAACCAAGGAGAAGCCAAGTACCGCGCAAAGTTTGTCTTGGAAGGAGGACTGATGTTCAGTAATCATGGGTAAAAATGATCTCCTTGAACCACTAGTTGCTTACTGTTCTTAATAGTCGTCTGTGATATTCTCCATATCAACTCTTCCGGATTATGAACTTATACACAACTGATTATAACAAATCCCTGATAAAATCAAGGTTTAGAGTATCACGGACTAGAAGGAACAGTCCAATAATGAGCACAAACATGATTCCAGATGACATAATCCGTTGCTCTACTTCTAAAGGAAGCTTTTTTCCACCTCGAGCTGCTTCTACAAGAATCAAGGCTAAAGAACCCCCATCCAAAGCAGGCAAAGGAAGGAGATTTATAACCGCGAGGTTGATATTCAAAACAGCTGCAAATTGATAAAGGCCGTCAATGTTTGATTTTGCAACTTCAGCACCAACAGCTATAATGGCAACAGGGCCCGATACCTTACTAGCCGTTTGTGAGAAGTTCATAAAAGTCTGTTTCAAACTGTCCAAAACATTGTACGTAAGACCCCAAAATTCTCTTCCTGAGAAGCTAAAAGCCTCAAATATATTCTTCGGCTGAACTTTCGAAATCTTGAAATTTGGTGACAGTTGAACTCCAATCCTACCCGTACCATCCGAATTCTCATCAGGTGTAACTCTAACATCAACATTCCCTTCTCTTCTCCCTATTTTCAACAACACATTTCTCTTTGGATTTTTCTTAATGACATCAACAACCTCAGAAACCAAATTAGGTCCACTTTTCCCTAATTCAATTCCATTTAAGCCTAAAATTACATCACCAGGAAGTAATCCATCTCTAGATGCAGCTGAAAAAGGCCTAACATCAGGGACAAGAACTCCAGGGAAAGATTCTTGAACAGGCAATCCAACTAACAACACTTGTGTAAATATTATAACATAAGCAAAGATTATATTAGCTATTACACCAGCTGAAATAACTACCACCCTATCAAATATAGGTCTATTTTTGAGCAAATTTTTGTCATCAGGGGGAATATCACTATCAGGATCATTATCAGGAAACCCCACAAACCCACCAAGAGGAAATGCTCTAAGTGAATATTCAACATTTTTGGCATTGAATTTAGCTAAGATTGGACCAAACCCAACAGCAAATTTACTTACATGAATACCTTGGAGATAAGCAGCAAGAAAGTGACCACTTTCATGTACTACAATAATAGCTGTCAATACACTAACTGCTTCTAATACTGACTGTGCACTCTCAAATCCACTAAAATCAAGCCCAGGAATGGCCCAAGTTTTAAACCTTTTTCTTCTGCTAAGTGGGTATATATTCTTGTCATGTAAAAATTGATTCTTGGAATGAAAAATGAGTTTTTCTGAAGAAGATGATAAGGATTTTGAGAAGTGAGTTTTGGACCTAAGATGGAACTTAGAAATGTGTGATTTGGAATTAATTAATTGTGAGAGGGAGAGAGAACAAGAAGAAGGAGAAGAGGAGAGGTTTATAATCATGTTTTTTTGTTGATTTTTGTGAATTTTGAAGGGGTTAATATGAAGAGGGGGGGTTTTGGTTAATAAGGGATAGAGAAGATAGGGGGATGTTGGAATGGATAATTCACAAATTTGGATTTGTGGTGGGGATGTGTGTGATCTGTTTACAATGCTCACACCACAATTTTGTTTGCTTGGGCTTTGTTCATTCAACAGAGGTCCAGGAGAAATTTCCGCGCAAAAGAAAATAGAATATATGGCATCTTTCAAAAGTAGTATTTTTATTTGAAGCAATTACTAAAGGATCCAACTGCAAATTAATTATTTTTAACCAATTCACATGAATATAATATAGAATTTATGATTCGAAAAAGGGTAAAAAATATCCCTTTATTATACGAATAGCATTATTTATATTCAGTCTTATAACTATTGATCTACTATAGCCCTCGACGTTATTGTACTTGTAAAAAAGATATCCTTCCATCGTTAACGTCCTTATTCACCATAGCAATACCGTCGCACATGGATTTACATTTTACTAAAATGAATATCACGTGGCATGCTACCTCACTGCCACAAAAATATATAATGAAGTATGAAATTGTGATCTAATAAATCAACCTAACAAAAGATTCTCGTAATGAAATAAGAAAAATAAAGGAGGAACAGGTTTAGGGAAGATTTTATATTTGGAAAACAAATTGAGAAATGTATAATTTTTTGTCGCTCCCAAAATAATAGGATAAAATAATATTTGGTATATATGCATATTTTANTCTCAATTGTCTAGAGAACTAGTCAGTGTGATTGTACTTCTTCAATTAATACGCACTGACCGAATAAGTATTAATTCAGATAAACAAACCGAATCATGTAATTACCAAGGTACACTTAAGTCTAACTTCCGTTTGACTTTCCAAACACAATGTATGTAGCTAATATGAGTGGATCGCCTATTTTTCGTAATGACTGTAAGATGATTCAAGATCGTAAATCGTATAACATGATCATTGATCTCTCACCACAACATGCACGAGACATTTTAATACCAAAAGAGTGAGAGAAGCAATTATTGTGCTGCTCAGTTAACAGATTGAAAATCTATATATTCTGTTTGGAAAGCAATCCGATAATTGAAAAGTTGGTCATATCAAGGAACTCAAGCATCCCTATCGCAGACAGAAATAGTACTTGTGATTACGGCATCTGAGGCCACGCATTTGGTCTGGCCGGAAAAGCATAGAACTAAGCTAGAGCGCCGACTAGCTGGCCTCCGCCTGTCTGAACAGTAGCTGGCTGACCTCCCCCTGCCTGGCCTCCACCTCTAGGACGACCCCTGCTCGCCTGCCCTCTGCCTCTGGGCGGCCGAACGGCTGGTGCTGAAATCATGGGCTGATGACCCTGCTGTATTGTCTTGCCCAGAAGCCTGGGGCAGAACCTCCGCGCATGATCGGGATCCCACTCGAAACAACCTCTCGGTGCAGTGATCTGTTGTCATGAAATCTGACCCTGATGGCCTGAATACCCACTGGAAGAATCCTAAATGGCTGGTGGGCGGTAATAACTCTCTGCATTGGGACTGAAATAGGCGCTGGAAGAAACCTGATTAGCTGGTGGGCCATAAGAACTCTCCGCCATGGCACTGAAATAGGGTCGCACTGGAGCACCCCGAGGAGGCGGCAATGCTGGATATGTGGGCCTGCTGGGCTGACCCCTCATGAACTGACCTCTGCCCCTAGCCGGGGCACTTCTAAACTCTCCGGAATAACGGACTCTCTTGTCCTGCTGCATCTGCTCTCTACCCCTCTGACGGTAACCCTCAATCCTCCAAGCAATCTTCACTACTAGCTGATAAGACGTCCCCATATCAACCTCCCGGGCCATAGTATCCAGAATACCTGAGTGCAACCCCGCAAAAAACCTCTACACTCGCTCTGCCTCGGTAGGAAGTATCATAAGTGCATGGCAAGACAACTGAGAGAATCTCACCTCATAATCGGTCACTGACATCTGACCCTGTTGGAGCTGCTCAAACTGGAACCGCAACTCTTCTCTATGAGAGGGTAGGATATACCTATCCAAGAATAGACGTGTAAACTGGTCCCAAGTCATGGGAGGAGAATCTACTGGTCTGCTAAGAAGATAAGACTGCCACCACTTACGGGCCCTGCCTCCAGCTGGAAAGTAGTGAAATCCACCCCATGGGACTCCAATATCCTTATGTTGTGCAGTCTGTCCCTGCACCGATCAATGAAGTCTTGGGGATCCTCATGTCGCTCACCTCTGAAGACAGGAGGGTGAAGCCTGGTCCATCTATCTAGTAGCTTCTGTGGCTCGCCAGTCGCAACTGGTCTGGGCTCAGGTACAACTGGCTGGGCTTCGCCCACTGATAGTGTGCCCGGGGTCTGATATACTGCAATTGCATGTCCAGGAGCCTGAGCAGTAGGGGTCTGTGCTCTCCCTCCCGCCTGAGATGTGACTGGGTCTGCTGGTAATAAACCAGCCTAGGTCATAGAATCCATGAACCGCAGCATACAGCTTATGACCTCCTGAAAGTCCGGTGCTGACTTGAAATCGACCGGGGCTGGCTCTGCTGCGGGCACCTCGCCCTGCTCCCCATCAATGATATCCTCCACTGGATCGGCTGGTGGTGCAATTGGGGCAACTCTGGGATGTCCTCGTCCCTACCTCGGGCGGGTGCCCTCCCTCGGCCTCTGCCTCGGCCTCTAGCAACAGGGGGAGCAGCCTCTCCCGGGTCAGGAACGTTTACCGTGCGCGTTCTCACCATCTGTGAGAGAATAAGAGGAAGAAACTTAGTACACCATCAATTATACGATAGAAGATGAATAAATAGTGGTTTCCTAACACCCTATAGCCTCTCGAAGATACGTACGGACGTCTCCACACTGATCCGCAAGAATCTATTAGGCCAGCCCATAACTTGTGAGACCTACGTGAACCTAGTGCTCTGATACCATGTTATCACGATCCGATTCCATTATAGGCCTTGATGGCACCCAACATCATTGTTAGGCAAGCCAACACTGATCAATCTAGTGGTTTCCCATTGCTAATAAGTTGCTAGGTGAATAACATTCCTCATTGTTAAAAGATTTAGGAATTTACAGATGTAAAATAATTAAATGAAAGCAACTGAGTGCAAATCGTAATCATAAAAATAAATCCAAAATCATAAATCTACTAGCGTGTGCCAAGATCTGGTATTACAAGTGTGTGGGTTACTAGTAGAATATACAAAAGATCTCTACTCCATTATCTGAAATAGAATAGACAGAAAATAAATCAACGAGACACTCCGGCTGTTGCTGAATGGCTCGGAAGAGCAGCACACCGTGTGGTCTCAGACCAGAAGTCAAGCATGCACGCCGGACTGATAATCAGATGCACCTGCCTCAAATCCTGCACATCAAGTGTAGAAGTGTAGCGTGATTACATAAACAATATGTCCCCAGTAAGTATTCAGTCTAACCTCGAAGAAGTAGTGACGAGGAGTCGACTTTGACACTTAATATGAGCTAAAGATACTATGCCAAAATTTACAAATAAGCATGAATTTCGTGAGAAATACTGATAACTCAATAACAGGAAATAATAAATAATTCTTTCACAAGTACTAAGTCCCGAATCTTATTTTTATCATTTAACAATTTATATCTCAAGCCAAAGAAGCAATAACAATTATAAATGATTCCAAAGATGTATCATGCGCAAATTATACCGAGGTCGTACGGCCCGATCCAACATAAATATTTAAACTATGCATTGCCGATGGTCGAACGGCTCGAACCATAGATGCATGTACCTGCTACCGAGGCGTTCGGCCGCTCCACAAAGAAAAATACTTTAAAGAAATACAGATTCTCTATAACAGTCAAGTGTTCCATTCACAACTTCAAGTAAGTGAAATTTAACCTTTTAAAGATTCCTTCACAAGTTTCCAATCTAACTTAAGCAATTAAATTAACATTTAAGGGTGCAAACATCTCAAGTATAGCATGATATGGGTCCTATACTACCCGCACAATAGCATAATTAGTAGCTACGTACGGACTCTCGTTACCTCGTACGTACGTAGCCCCCACAAATAGAAGCACATGTTAATCAATTCACCTATGGAGATAATTCCCTCTTACAAGGTTAGAAAAGAGACTTACGTCGTCTCAAAACCTACTTTCCTGTCCAAGATTGTGCTCAAACCCTCAATTTGGTGCCAAATGACTCGCAACTAGTCAAATATTACTTATAATAATTAATACACGCTTAAAAGTTCATATCCCAACTATCAAAGTGATTTCCTAAGCCTATTTGCAGAATTCCTAAAATTTACCCCTCGGGCCCACGTGCCCACATTTCGAAATTTTTTTTTTAAGAAAGTTATTACACATAACCTCATGAACTCAAATATATGATTTTTACTAGATTCCATAACAAATTTCATGATTAAATCTCATTTTTATCAAAAATTTAGGTTTTCACCTAAACCCATAATTTTCACTAATTTACATGTTATAATCTACTCATAAACTATGTATTTAACACACATTGTATAGAAATTACTCACCTCAACGTGGTAAGTGAAATCCCCTCTCTAAGAGCTCCAAAATTGCCCAACAATGAAAATAAATGAGCCAAAATAATTAAGTCCCGTTTTAAAAGAGACCTCACTACCTCCAGCGATCTCGCACCTGCGGTCGCAGGGCCGCACCTGCGTTGTCGCTTCTGCGGACAAAAGTCCGCTTCTGCGGAAGTGCCCAAGCAGGCTGGCTCTGCTTCTGCGGATGGGGTCCCGCTTCTGCAAAGGTTGGGGGCGCACCTGCGGATCCTGGGCTGCCCTTCCTTGGCCGCTTCTGCGAGCTCGCATCTGCGGCTGGCCAAGTGCAGGTGCGATTATGACAGCAGCTGGAAGCTTCAGCTGTTGCTCCCAATTTTTAACTTGGCCTGAGCCTCGTCCGATTGACACTCGGGGCCCCCGGGGCACCGCCCGAACATACCAACCAGTTTGGAATCATAAAACGGACTCGCTCGAACTCTCGGATGTCACACCTCCTTTTTCCCGAGGGGATTAGGGGAGTTTTTCCAATTTAAGTGACATTAATCGAAATGGGATTATTTATTTAT